TATGTCGCTGGACTCCCATGTAGTCGACCACAGTTCGAGTCCCGGACCCGGTGGCTTAAACTCACGCTGGGCGTGTGTGCGTGCGTGCCCAGGATCCCGAGAGAAGAATGGAGGAGAAGGGATTGCGCCGTGGCCATCCCCCCTGGGGGGTGATGTCTTGCTTTCTGTCTCTCTGTCTCCCTGTCTTTCTGGCGAGTGCACGCGCCCTATAGCAAAAACCTCTGAAAAAAAAAAGAAAAAAAAAACCTTTCCTTGGGACCAGCAGTTGCCAGAATGGCTATGTTGCTGGACTCCTCCCCCCCAGAAAAAAAGAGGTCACATCTCCAGGCGGCCCTTTAAGACTCCATCTGGCTGGTTGGATCCCAGTAGCCAGCAGAAAACAGTATTATGAGGGGGCCTGAGGGTGGCACACAGCAAGACAACCCTGTGCCAAGTTGACCCATGTGAGAAAGTGCCCGGTTTGCATTTGGAGACACTCCCCGCCCCCCGACACTCCAGGTAACCGTGTGCCCATGATCTGGGGCTGGCTGAAGCTGGGGGTGGTGGATGGTGATGTCAAGACTCTGTAAAGGTGCTATCTCTTTGTGTCTTTTTTGGAGAGGTTTTTGCTATAGGGTGCGTGCGCTCCTCAGAGAGACAGAGAGACAGAGAGACAGAAAGCGAGAAATCACCCCCCAGGGGGGATGGTCACGCCGCAATCCCTTCTCCTCCATTCTCCTCTCAGGATCTTGGGTCCGGCGTGAGTTTAAGCCACCGGGTCCGGGACTTGAATTGCTATCAAGTACGTGGGAGTCCAGCGACATAGCCATTAGGCCAACTGCTGGTCCTTAAACAAAATTTTTTTAGAGAGATTTCTGCTATGAGACAGGTGCGCTCACCTGAGAGACAGATACAGAAAGCAAGAAGTCTACCCCCGGGGGGATGGCCTCACCACAATCTCTTTCCATCATTCTCTCCTCGGGATCTTGGGCATGCACACACACACATTCGACATGCTTCTGAAGCCAGGGTTCAGGATCCGGACCACTTAGTCAGTAATGTGAGATCCAGCCGCCTTAACCTTTACACCATCTGCAGGCTGTTTCCATTGCCATTAATATCACCTCCCTCTGGGACCAGCAGATGGAGTAATGGTTATGTCATTATATTCCTACATGGCCAACCACAGTTCGAGTCCCGGACCCAGCAGCTTAAAAATCACACTGGGCACATGTACGTGCATGCTGAAGATCTTAAAAGGAGAATGGAGAAAGGACTATGGCATGGCCAGCCTCCCCACCCCCCAGGGGTTGATTTCTTGCCTTTTGTCTCTCTGTCTCTGTCTGTCTCTCCGGCAAGCACACACTTCCCATGGCGATATCTCTCTACCCAACTCCACAGGTAGTAGTTTGAAGGGTGACTAAACTGCCACACCCCAGGGTCATCCATACCTGCCTGCAGAACCAGGGACAAGGCAGGATGATCCTGCTTCGAGCACCAGTCCCATGCCAGCCTACGCGACTCTGGGCCTCAGGGCATTCTGTGGCCTCCAGAATCTGCATCAAGGGGTTAGGCTGGTGGAGAGCTGACTGCCCCAGTAGCTCCGTCCAGGGGTGAGAGTAACTCTGAGATGTGAGGTCCCAGAGGTGCCCGGCAGGATTATTGCCCACTGTGGACACTCGGTCACTCACGCTTCTGTCGTGGACTGCCTGCCCATTCCTGGCCCACAGCCCGTGGTTAGCCAGGACACTCTGCTCTGGAGATCGGCTGGCTGTTGGCTGGAGCAAACGGCTCACCAAACCATGGCTCTCATCCTCCAGCAGGGCTAGCCCAGGCCAAAACTCACCAAAAAGAGTCAATGACCAAGCCCAAGGTCAGCATGGGAGGGCACAACCGAAGACCAGGAAAGAACTGGGGGCCAATTTTGCAATCTACCACAGGTAGGGTGGCCAGGCGTTATCACCCAGCCTGTTGAGGGGGAGCTACTGGCACGGTCTCCCTGGTAGAAAGGCAGGGGACGAGCCATACCTCTGATCAGGCCGTGGGCTTGTGCAGGACGGGCCTGTGCTGGACTTAAACCCCCAGCTGCCCATTCCAAGAACCACCAGGCAGCCATGAAGAGGAAGCTAGCGGAGAGCGTGGATGGATACTGAGTGGGGCACGGTGCCCAGCACATCCCCGCTGGCTGCAAGGTGGGGACCACAAAGACTTAAGCCCCGTCTTGATTCTCCGAAGCTCTCTGTGGCCGGGGACCCTCATCGAGTGTCCTTGTCCCAGCCTGGAGACACCTGGGGCTTGTGCTGACAGATGATTACTTTCATCTCTCTCTTTTGAAAAATGGCCCATGTTTAAGGATTCATAAAACTCAGGGAATGCATCGCTGAGCCTGTAACGCCGTGAAAGCCCCATGTAGAGAACGACTTAAAAAGAAGATTCATCAAACTAATTACTTCTCTCCACGC